AAGCCCGAGCACCCCAAAGCCCTAAGAAAGGGCCTCAATCATGAGAATAGGGTTTAGGGTTTAGGGTTTAGGGTTTAGGGTTTAGGGTTTTAGGGTTAAGGGTTTAGGGTTTTGTGGTATACTATACCATAGTTCGAATAAGGGACCCCCGAAGTAGTATGGATAGTTTTTCAGGCCCCTATATTAACCCTGAATCCTAAACCCGAAACCCGAAACCCTAAACCCTAAAACCGTCAGGAAGAGATGGAGGAACAGACTTCTGCTCTGCCGGACCAGGTCAATACCGGCAGTTCGGGTTTGCGGAGGACCCTGAGCCCAAAACCTCAGAAGCCCTCATCCCTAAACCCCAAACCCTGAACCCTAAACTGCAATGGTTTGTTTTCCTAAGGCCTAAACCCTAAACCCTAACCCCCTAAACCCTAAACCCCAAACCCGAAACCCAAACCCCCAAACCCTAAAGCCTACCCCCAAAACCCCAAATTTGGGGTTTGAGTTTTCAGGGTGTTCGTGCTTTTAGTTCTGAGGGCTTGGAGGCTTTAGGATCTAAGTGGCTTGGGTCTTTACGGTTAAAGGCTTTGGGCTTTAGTGCAAAAGGGTTTAGGGTTTAGGTTTTTTGAGGGTTTGGGATTTTTTGGGGTTTTGACTTTCGGGCATGAAGGTTCGAGAGTTTCAGGGGGTTCCAGGACTCCAAACCCTAAGCCCCAAAACCCCTAAATCCTAAACCCTAAACCCTGAACCCTAAGCCTTTCAAGCCTTAACGCCTAAACCCTAAACCCTCAACTCCTCAACCCCTAAACCCCTAAACCCTAAACCCTAAACCCCTAAACCCCTAAACCCTAAACCTTAAACCCTGAACCCAAAGCCCTAAACCCTCAACCCGCAACCCGAAGCCCCTGACTCTCGTTATATTTGGGGTTGCAGGAGCAGGATGTGAGAGCTCCAGGGCTTCAGGGTTTAGGGTTTTAGGGTTTTAGGGTTTTAGGGTTTAGGGTATAGGGTTTAGGGTTTAGGGTTTAGGGTATAGGGTTTAGGGTTTAGGGTATAGGGTTTAGGGTTCGAAGAGAGGTGTTTCGTGTTCAGGGTTTCAGACCTTTGGAGGGTTGTGAACTTTGAGAGTTTTCGGGTTTTAGACTTTTGGAGTTTTAGGGTTTTAGAGTTTTGGAGTTTTCGGGTTTTAGACTTTGGGACTTTTCGGGTTTTAGGGCGGGAAGTTTGAGAGTGCTATGCTGCCACCCCCATGAATCCAGGAGTGGGCTGCGGCCATCACGATCCGGAAGTGTTTCCGTGGCTGAGCCTGGATGGATCGGAAGCGGAACTTGCGACAGAGACTTCTGATCCCTTTGTGAAGCCGGACTTGATGACTGCCAGCATTGCCTCCTCTGCCGTTCTTCTGATCCCTAAACCCTAAACCCTAAACCCTGAAGCCTAAACCCTAAACCCTATACCCTAAGCATCATGCGCTGGACCAGGACGAGCCATTTGCACTGCTGTGGCGGGCAGTGCGAGACCCGCAAGGCCCAAACCCTAATTTCCTATGCCCTGCAACAAACAGCGGCTGTCACACCAAAACAGAAAGGTCTTAGTAGGGCAGAAACCCTATAAATCCTAAGCCCTATACAATTTGCAAACCACTGGAGAGCAAGCTAAGCCCCAAACCTAAAACCGTCCAAAAGGGACCTTCCTAGGAAACGTTAAGCAACCTCAGACAAACCAAGCCATCAACCCTAAACTCTAAGCCCTAGGGGCCCCTTCTAAGGTGCTTTTTCTAAGGGTGCCGTACTATTCGGGGATGCTAAACCCTCAGCCTTAAATCGGTGAGCGAAAGGTAGAGTCGACGACTGGTGGACAGACTGATGCTGCCAGCAGCCAGCGGGCGGCACGGGTCCAAGTTCCATCTCTGCCAAACTCCCACGCCTTTGTCAGGTTTAGGGGTTTAGGGTTTAGAGTATCCCCTGAACAAGGAGAAGATAACAGCGGCCAACACGATATGTAAACAGGTGCGTTTTAAAAAATTTGGACGAATACATATCCAAACCGATGGGTAATCATGTGGAAACACAAATAGGTAGCAAGGCCAAGTAACAAACCAAGAAATACACAGATGCATACATGAAGATAGAATCAAGTGAGTAGCTGTTCTCCGGGAAAGATCTACGCTCTTCTGAAATTCTGGTCTTCAAGTTATGTGCCCCCGGTTCTCCTCGTAGCAATTTCTATCGTCTACTGAACACGCCAATCTACTACTTTATCCCGACATGGTATTTTTGAGTATGGCGCCTCCCTGTTTTCAAACATTGTCCTAGCGACATACGACCTGCGAGCGATGATGGTCAAGACAGGTCTATCTACTGCCGCCTGCCCTGCTACTCTAAGTTGCTTCTGCGCGAAGGACTAAATTCAAATGCTCCTTTACAGGCCCACGACTTCCGTCCTGACAGCAGCCCGTCAGGGAGATAATGCTGCAACTAAGTGTTGTCCATGTCTTCTCCCCCTCTGGTGGAAGAACCAATTCAACGCAAGATGCTACAAGATTGAATGTCCTGTCATCTCTCCATGCATCGAACAGCAAAAGAACCAAGTTATTGCAGCAATAACGGCTGTTACGAACAGCCTGCAATTCCTCAGTCCTATTCACCGAAACACGTCACTGCAAGATGCTGCTATGAAGTTTTGTCAGTACTCCCTCCAGTCATACAAGGAAGCGTTGTGGACGTGGACTGACATCCAGGATTTCATGGAAGATCTCAGGAAACTCACCAGTGTCCGCACTTAGCCATGCTAGCCCGGGACACCCTAAACCCTAAACCCTA